GTACTGAGTTACAGGCCTGTGCTAACACGCCCAGATTTCAAGGGCTCCACTTCAAAACACTATTGTTGAATTAACTTTCTACCCTCTGAATATTTTGAAATGGAGATTAGATTAACCCAGGGATCTATGGAGGACACACCCAATCTATAGCTAAACCATAGCATATGGAATCTTATTATTAGTGGACACTTTAATTGTACCCATTGCTACAGCAGATAATGCAGAAACGTGCTGTGCTTGCATGTATATGTTGGGTACTTTGCTGGTCATGGGAGTGATGGATACTGCCTTAGAGTGGTAGCAGGGGCACTGAATCAAAGGCATTAGGAAAGCAAAGCTGGTAGCTAGCGAAAGGAAATAAGAATGGAATTGGAAATTGTTGGGACCTAGGGTCATAGAATTAGAGGCCTTAGATTAGATGGGCTTATCGGAGGTTGTGCCGGCCTCATGTCCTCTGGATAGAGTATACTACATTGTTGGCCTCAAGCTGTGCAGTGACGTGACCCAAGGAGCCACAGTAAAGTTACTGAAGGAAACACGGGAGCTGTAGGTTCCTTAATATATTTTTCTGTGCACATGCTACACTTTGTTTTTACTAACATGTAATCATATATAATAATAGGTTTAGTTATGGCATTCTCTCTCTCTCTCTCTCTCTCTCTCTCTCTCACACACACACATATAGATATATAAAACCTATTTTGATCCCATTCTTATTACTCTCTCATTTCCCTCTTGCTTCCTTTGATCCTCTTCCTAACAAACTCTTACTTCTACTTTTGTGTCTTTAAGAAAAAAAAAAAAAGACCTTAACCCCAGCACTCAGGAGGCAGAGGAAGCAGATCTCTGAGAGGCCAGCCTGGTCTATAGAGTGAGTTCCAGGACAGCCAGGGCTGTTATGCAAAGAAACCCTGTCTCAAAAAACAAAAACAAAAAAGAAAAAGAAATGATGCTTACTCTGTGTGTGTGTGTGTGTGTGTGTGTGCACGCGCGCGCCGCACACTTGAGGACACCATGGTGCATATATGAAGGTCAGAGGACAACTTGGGCGACTCATTTCTCTCCTTCCACTGTGTGAAACCCAAGGACTGAACTCTGGGTTGAGGGCAAGTTCCTTTACTGCTGAACCACCTCACCACACCCCTCTATTTTTTAGTGACCCAGTCGGTTTCATTGGGGCTGTTTATGGGAAAATGGGTGGAAAGTTATTTTCAGGAGCATGGTCATCTTACTAAAGGCCACACCGTGGAAGAAAATGTCTTTCCTGCAACCATTGACTGCCCGTAGATTCTCTGGGAAGGAGGAGACTTCGTGAACCCCTCACCCATCCGTGGCAGGATGTTGATGGGCCCAGGGTCGTGCACGGAATGAGTGACAGCTGCTTTGAAACCAAGAGTGCGATGGCCATGTTGTACCCAGAAGACAGTATTCCACCGCAGTCTTCAGCTCCTTCGGCTCTCACATTCTTTCTTCCCCTCTCCATCAGTGTTTCTTGAGCCTTTGTAAGTTACTTTCTAGTTTTCTGGCTTCTACATAAATGCAAGAGTATAAAAATTGGAAGCTAGAATCTTCGTATTAAGAGAATGTGTATCTTTTCCTGTTTCATACAGATCCCGGCAAATATCATGCCTTTGTTTTTCTTTATCACTGAATGCAATTCCATTGTGTGTATGTATGTACTATATAATTATTATCCATTCATCAGTCTTCTGTATGTCCAAGAGTGGTATAGTGGGGTCACATGATGGTTTGTTTGTTTTGGAGACAGGCTCTCACTGTGTATCCCTGACTGGCTTGGGATTCATTATGTAGATCAGGCTGATCTCTAACTCACAGATATTTGCCTGCCTCTCTATTTATTTATTTATTTGAAGCCTCCAGATCGATTTCCACAGCTTCCATCAACAGTGAATAAGGACTTTCTTCCCCACATATCCTATCCTCTTAGCATTTCTCTCTCTCTCTCTCTCTCTCTCTCTCTCTCTCTCTCTCTCTCTCTCTCTCTCTCTCTCTCTCTCTCTCTCTCTCTCTCTCTCTCTCTCTCTCTCTCTCTCTCTCTGTGATAGCCATTCTAACTGGGGTGAGATGGAATCTCAAAGTAGATGTAATTTGTATTTCCCTGATGCCTATGGATATTTTCCACTTAAAATAATATTTATTGGCCATTCATATTTCTCCTTTAAGAACTCTGCTCGGTTCCACAGGACATTTTTGTCTGAGTATATGTAGTGATATTTTGTTTGTAATCTAATAAATAAGACTTGCCTGAAGGTCAGAGTGCAGTGCCAACCCACTAGTTAGCCACACACACTAAACCACTAGTTAGCCATAGAGGTCCGGCAGTGGTGGCCACACCTTTAATCCCAGCACTCAGGAGACTTAGGCAGATAGATCTCAGTGAGTACAAGGCTACACGAGAGTGATCCAGTCTAAAAGAAAAAGAGAGCTCGCATTTTGGATCCCATGCCTTTAATCCCAGTATTAGAGAGGAATATAAGGTAGGGAGAGCCAGGAGCTCATTGCAATCTGAGGTTCATTGGATCGCCTCTTAGGTCTGAGCATTGGTAGAGCTGAGAGTCTCTAGTGTCTGGATGCTTTGCTTCTCTGATCTTCAGCTTTAACCCCAATATCTGTCTGTTTTTTTTATTACTAATACCAATTAGAATTCCTGCTACAATTATATGTTTTCTTGTTTACTTTTCTGTTTAGTGCATTCTCTTGTGTATTCTAGATATTAATCCTTTGTCAAATTTATAGCTGGCAAGGATTTCCTTCCATTCTGTAGGCTCTCTTTACTCAGTTTCCACTGATGTCCTAAACTTTGAAATTTCATGAGGTCTCACTTGTCAGTTGTTGGCCCTTTTTCCTTATCAGTAACATTTTGACATAAATAGTGATGTTGAAAGTCTCCCAGACTGCTTAAACTGCTGGGCCAAGTTCAACATCGAGCGTTCTATGGTGTCTTTGGTGGTGGCGTCTCATGCAGCTTTTCTGATGATTGCTACTATGTGTTAGTCCTGGACAAATAACTTATGTAGACTAGGAAAAGAAGATGACATTGTGTAGTCATATCCCGAAGTTTAAAAAGTTTCACAGGGGCTGGAGAGATGGCCCGGAAGTTAATGGCACACATTGATCTTCCAGAGGACCTGAGTTTGATTCCCCAAACCAACGTCCAGGGGGAATCCACACCTCTCGCATCTGAGGGCGCCTGCACATACCCACACACAGACACACTCAACAGTGCTCAACAGGTACATGAATAATAACTTGTTAGGACTGAAATACTTATTAAGTAGTTGTAGCCTAACTACTTAGTTCATGGAACAGCAAGATGCTTCTTTGGCCTGTGGTGCTTTGAAAACAACCACCAAGACGCTGAGAACTTGGCTGGGTTCAGGTGTTCACTGTTAAGTAATATCAGGTGATAACTGTCAAGGCTCTACCTGTGTTTAACTCTAAGATAGGTGGTCTACCTGTGAACAAAAGAGCCCTACCCTTTCCAGATATGCAGCCTCTCAATTTAGCCACTCTGACCCTTTCCCTAGAGCTTGTGCATAAAAGTACCGGAGAAGATGTTGGTGGGCCAGTCTGGGTCACTTGCATATGCCAAATGTGGCTATTGAGATTCACCATGCTATGCCTGAGTCAAATCTCTGTCCTCGTGCTTGGTGAATGTCCCACAGAACCCACAAGGAATAAGTAGGCAGGCTTTCTGTGGAAAAAAGGATTTGCCTCATTTGGTAGAGTGGGTGCCACAAACAACAGGGACAAATCTAATCCCCAGTGTTTGTGTAAGAAGCTGGGTATGGTGGTGCACACTTAACAATCCCAGCGCCCGGGAGCCAGAGACAGGCAGAGCCCTGGACCTCGCTAGCAGCCTGCCAAGTGAATCTACCAGCCCTAGGTCACGATGAGAGACCCTGACTCAGCACCACTGGTAGCTGGAGCCGCGTGGAGCCGGGTGGGGTGGTTACAGATGTGCGCTTTGCCGCCTGTGCCGCCTGTGCCGTCCTTCTCACTTGGTTTCTCGTCACCACGTGGCTGGCAACAATGTTAAGAGGCAGGAATGAAAGTGGCCTTTCCTGCCCCAGGGTTCCAGAGCAGGGTCACCCGATTTTCCCAAACACCTTGCCTTCCTTAACCCAGTGGAATTGGAAGATGCCTTGAATAGGGCCCAGTATGGGGGTTTTCTTTCCTGCTTCCTGCCCAATTAAAAAAATATGGCTATGTGTTTATAAAAAACACCCCAATGCAAGATGGGTAGCACCTGAGAAATGACATGGGAGGTTGTCCCGTATCCTCCACACACAGAACATACCTATTCATGTGCATTTGTACACACATGCCCCCTCCCTCCAAAAAAGAATAAGCAAGGGGGCACAGAGCAAAAACAGTGAATTAGCATTTTATGGATGAGGGAAACAGACTGGTTGTTTAAACAATAAGCATGAAAAGTTCCACCTATCTGGGTTTATTTCCTAGGCAAAATTCATGACATCAGCATGGCTTTGATTTCTATTGCAAATCAGTGGAATTTAGGATTCATGGGAATAACTGAAGGTAAAGGCTAAGAAACATAAAATGAACAGTTACTGAAGTCCCTCTTCACTGTATGGATGGTTGGTATGAGGGCAGATTGAGTTAGTAAACATCAAGTGACTTGCATAAAGGGCAGGAGAGGTGGCTCTGCAGTTAAGAGCACTTGCTGCTCTTGCAGAGGACACAGAACACAGATCAGGTGGCCCATAACCACTTGTAACTCCAGCTGCAGGGGACCTGGCTTCTTTTGGTCTCTGTAAACACACATTTGAGTGCAGACGTAATAAAAATAAGTATTAAGGAGTGTTTTGCATGTTCTTGGTAATAGGATGCCCCAGCAAATGATGCCATTATCATCACCACTTATGGTCACAGCAACTCTGACTCCTGGAGATCTTCCTAGGAGGGAGGCAGGGAGAGGGTGCACGAAACTGACTTTCCTTTCCTGTCCATTCCAGGGCCAACATGGATGCTATCAGTCAATCACCTGTGGATGTCCTGCTTCCCAAGCACATTCTGGATATCTGGGCCATTGTCCTCATCATCCTGGCTACCATTGTCATCATGACCTCTTTGTTTCTGTGTCCAGCCACTGCAGTCATCATTTATCGAATGCGGACTCATCCGGTTCTCAATGGGGCTGTCTGAGACCCTTGAAAGTGGGATGCCGTGTGATAAGGACACAAATCTCTCCCTCAGCCTCTTCTCAGAAAGACAGTGGGGAAGACTCAGGAGTTGGACTTTTGTTTTAGTTTTGATTCTGCAACTGGCCAACAGTGTGGATTTGATCAACTAACCTAACTCTGTGGGTATCAAGCTCCTTAGTTTTCAACTAGGGGTCACAATCCCTGCCCTCCTACTTCACAGGGTTGAGAGCCATGTGACTTAGCGGAGGTGAGTCCTGTGTGCAGCGAAGCCACACAGGTGTTGAGCTGTGCAATGGGAAGCTTTGAAGAACCAAAGACCCTTGGAGCTGCTGATGGTCAAGGAGGCCAGGCAGACTGGGAAAGAGAAGCTTTGGCCAGTGCCCCTCACACCAAACCATGACAGTGTACCCCATCCTCAGCAAACCAAACTTTTTCCCCGTGAAACTTCTTTCATTTTTCTCGTTTGGGGAGAAGGAGCCAGGAAGGCAGGGGGAGAGAGATGAGCACAAGTTTGAAGAACTGCTCTGCCAAACTCTGCCCCGTGTAACCCTAAGGAGAGCTTTGCCATAATTTAGCAGTGCCAAAGGAGGGGGTGATGACCTGTACAGAGTCTCAGGTCTCTGTTGGAAATGCAGGGTGGCTGAGTTCTCTGCCCAGCATTCCAGCCCCTTTATGTACCCCATAGTAGAGAACTTCCCTCTGTCTGAACTTTGTTGTCATTAGCTGCATGATTTTGTCATTAATTTTTTGTGGCACTGGAGAACCTAGGGCCATGATCTGCCTCTGAGCTACATCCCCAGCCCTTCTGGCTCCAGCAACCATCTAAAGTACATATTATTTCAAGAGATTTCCCAGGACTCTTGAACCCAACTCAAAACAACGATGATTATTTTAGATGCTATGGTTTATATTTATATAGAGATGTTTCTAGACCATTAACGCTTGCCCTCTGACATCCAACTCGGGCATCTTGGGATTCATTGTTGTGTAAGAAGATAACATATATATTAGGATAGTATTATGTCAAATGATGCTTACTTTGATCTTACTTCATTGATGTATGCTTCCAATTTCCAATAAAGTGCCATATTGAGCATGTCTGAAGTTTTTCTTTGAAGAACACCTACCTGAACTCAGAACTCAGATAGAAGGATTCAACTCAACTGTGTTTTGCTTTTTCAGTTCTGGTATCAATTCAGGGCTTTGTTCATGCTAAGCAATGGCTTCACCACAGAGCTCTGCCCTTCCTCCAGGATGCAGCTGGGAGTCTTCAGTTCCCTGGCAAGGATTTTTGAGATTGTAGTTATGGTTTGGAAGACATGTCCTCATCCTGTCTACCATTGTCATCATGATCTCTCTGTTTCTGTGCCTGGCCACTGCAGTCATGTCTATCAAATTCGGACTCATCCGGTTCTCAATGTAGTGAACAGCACTACTCTACACAGTGTGCTAAGGTGCTAAGTCTAGAGCCCAGAGGATGCTAAGTAGGAGTATAAGGCATAGAGGAGGAAAAGACAGAAGCAAGGAGATTGAAAGGTTCATGCAGTATGAAGGAAGGTTCCAGTTACACGGGCTAAGGTGTGAGCAGGCTCTCAGGGAGGCAAAGCAGAGAGAACAAATAAGCCTCCTAGGGACAGCACTGTAGTAAAGACACAAAAGTTAAAGGGGGTGTGGGGCGGCTGGCAGAAGGAATGTATGTATCTTGGTCCCCTTGGGCTAGGTGTTGGGTACTATTGCACCGTTGTCACCAAAGCAGCCGACCCAATGGGAAGGAGAAAAAGTCTCTTTTGGCTCAGTTTCAGTAAATCATCAGGGAAAGTATGGAAGAGTTGGTTCCAAATATTGCAGAGGGAATATTGGGGACAGCTGTTCTCATGGCTTCGATGAGGAAGGCACAGAGCAGTTCTGTCACACTAAGACACTGTGTGCCTTCATAGAACTGCCTGTCTTCATGATTCAGAGCCGCTGATTCGTTCTCTGACAGTGTAGCTTTGCCTTTTCTGGAATGTTAGGTCTACAAAACCATTAAGTGTGTGTGCGCGTGTCTTTGATACTTGTTTCTTTGAAAGCGTGTGCTTTCAGATGTACTTTATTCTGTGTATCCATTGGGTTCTTTTATTACAGGCTTGTGCCGCATCCTGCTTACCCATCAACAGATGAGCTTTCAAATTCTTCTGAATTAAGCAACCATGACCATTACACGTGCAGAGGTTTTAAAAGTGTGTGTGTGTGTGTGTGTGTGTGTTGCATGCATGTGAGTGTGTATGCCTTTGTGTGAACATTCAGAGAGCAGAGAAGGCTTGGTGTAATTGTCCTCTGTCATTCTCTAACTTACTGCCCCGAGACTGTGTCTTTCAATGATCTGCTTTCCATTTCAGGCTGGCTGTCCAGCAAGTGCTGGGCTCTGTCTGTCTCTTTTCCCCAACCCCCAGTATGGGGTTAGCAGCACACGCTTAAGATTTGAACTCAGCTCCTTAAGCTTGCTCAGGATGATGTTATCCACTGAACCATCTCTTAGCCCTTGTATAAAGTTTTATAAGAACACAACATTTCATTTTTCCTTGAATTTATTTACATATTTATTTATGTGTATGCATATTATACACATAGGTGGAGAGGAGAGGACAGCCTGCTGAAATTAGTTTTCTCCTTACTGTGTGGGTCCCAGAGATTGAACTGCGGTGTCAGGTTTAGCCACAAGCGTCTTTCCTGGCTAGCCCCGTTTTATTTTTCTATGTGAGTACCGAGCATCAGGAATGCTAGTTAATGTGGAATTTATTTTACCAAAGACTGGCAAACTATTTCCTGACTGGAGCATTCCCAGCAGCATGAGACGTCCTAAATCATGTTTGGACTCCTTCCCCATTCTCTTAGGTGTGTGCACTTTTAGTTTGAATTCCCCCAGTGCAGACTGTATAGTCAAGTGCTTATTTGAGATCTGTGTTTCCTTTTGGTAATATGTTTATTTAAGTTTTAGCCCTCTATAACACCGAGTTGCTTGTTTTCTTACTATTGGGTTTTAGGAAATCTTTATATGTTATGCAAAGGTCTGATTCTTAATTTTCAAATATTTTCTTCAAGTCAGTAGCACACTTTTTCACTTTATCAACCTTTTTTAAGCAAAAAATAAAAACCCTATTTATTTATTTACTTATTTATTATGTATACAATGTTAGGCCTGCATGTATGTCTGCACTCCAGAAGAGGGCGCCAGCTCTCATAGATGATTGCTGGGAATTGAACTCAGGACCTTTGGGAGAGCAGCCAGTGCTCTTAACCTCTGAGTCATCTCTTTAGCCCCTAAAGCAAAATTTGAAGGGTCTATTAACTTGCTTTTCTTAGAGCGATGTTCTGATTACCCTTGCTGTGTCTTCATGTGAATTGCAGGTTTAAATAGTCTTCTGGAAGCATTGTTTAGTATACCCCTATGGAGAACACTAATTTATTTTGGCCTGGTGAGGTCAGCTATGTTTTTGTTTGTTTTGTTTGTTTTCTCCTTCTCTGCCTGATGTCTGCTATTTGGTGCCGGCAGATGGCATTTCCTAAGCCTTGCCCGCGCTAGTTGAAGCTGGTTCAAACTTGCTCCATCTAGCGGACAGCTTTATATCAGTGCGGCCAGTCGCCGACTTCACTTTTCAAAACTTCCGGATGTACATCCTGTTTATGGAAAGAACGAGTTCATCTTAGTGTGGGACTGAGCCCCACTGTCCTTGGGCAACTTTCTGGGATTGTTTTCTTCAGCGCCCTTTTCATAGCTGATTCCCAAACACCTTCTTTTGTTCGGTGCGTCTTCCCTGGTTCTGGAAATAGAAACAAAGGCTTAAGCCCCGGATCTCAGTTACCAGGCATTGGGAACGCAGGAGAGGGGAAAAAAACCGGGGCTTCCTGATGGTTGCACTCAGTTCTGCGGTCGGGGACAAATGCTGCTTGCTTCCTCTCCTAAGGTGCCTGGCCACTGCTTTTTGGAGCAAAATAAATAAAGGGCTTCTGTTGGAACACTGCCAGCTCCAAATAACAGGAAGTGTCTCTGGGTTAAACAGAAAAAGACGCTTTTATTCTTTCTCTTTCCCTGGTGACGAAAGGGGCAAGGAAAAAAAGAAAAAATTTGAGAAACAAAGTTAAATAAATGAAGGGGCAAAAGGGAGAGTGGAGAAGTCATGTAGGGGAAGAGAGAAGAGCAAGAGATTAGAAAAAAATTAAAAATTTTCTAACCACGGGAAAACTCACAAACAAATCAGATAAATATAAGGAGAATAAAAATAAAGCCCATTTAAAAAGATTTCTTCACTATTATTACTTTAGAAAAATGAATAGCAGGGTGAAGCTGGGGAGATGGTCCCTTTTCCCTGTGGGACTGACTGGTCTCCACGTCTGTTTACAACTCCACCCACAGCAACTATTTTCTTTTTACATTAAAAATAATTTGAGAATTTCACGTCATGTACCCCAATCCTACTAATTTCCCAGTCTTTCCGTGTCTGCCTTCCACCCTTGTAACCTCACCCCCCAAATAGAACAAATCAAAACCAAACAAGCACAAACGCATCTTGAGGACGCCTCTGGGCTTCTGCTCCCTGTCAGCTGCCGCCTTCTCTCACATCCGACTGCCTCTCGGCTCCAGTTCTGCCAGGCACACACCACTCACTCCTGTCTTCCCTGCCTGCCTCTCCATCACATAGCCGTTCCTGGTAGCCGCACTGGGAGCTGTGGTGTGTCCCGCAGAGTATATACCCTTCTGTCTGAAAAGCTTTGCTTGCAAATGTTCACTGCAGTGAGTCGTTGGTCTGGTTCAAGGCCCCTGGCAACTGCTATACCATCCCTATTGGATCCTCACCTAGACTCCTCTTGGATATTCTGTGTTGCCTTGAGTCATGGAGATCCTGTGGCTACAGTTCTGCCATCTTTTCTGAGTCCACACCATTAGGGCCGCTCTCCTGCACCACCAGGGCCACCCCTCCCATGCTATCCGGGCCAGGTCTCCCTAGTGCTGCTGTGTGGTTCCAGGTGATGGGCGGGGCCAGTTGGGCACCACCCTTGGATATCAACATGGCTTCAGGTGGCAGCCCAGACCACAGGCATCCTCATGGCTTTTGGTGGTAGCGTGGGGGCACAGACATGGACGTAGACCCCTGCTATGGTAGGACCTTAGATCCAGACATGGCCCTCAACAACAGCAAGGGCCGGGATATTGCTACCGCCCCAGGTGGCAGCAGAGGTCACCCAGATCAGCGTGGCCCTCAGGCATCAACATGGCCTCAGGTGGCAGCCCAGACCACTGACATCTTCATGGCTCTTGGCAACACCAGCCGTGAACATCAACACAGATTCCTGCTGTGGCAGGGTCATGGACTCAGACATCACTCCACGGCATCACTGTCCGGACATCACGTGACCTCAAGTGGTAGTGCAGGCTACTCACATCAGCCCGCTCCTCACCACTGTCTCATCTCCAGCTCGGCCTCTCTGCACAGCGCGTGACGCGTTCCGCGTTTCTTTCTCTCCCATCTCTCTACCAGATACTTGCCCACTGGAGTGGTGCTTGCCCATCTGGCCCGCCAGAATTTTTATTTTTTATTTAATGTGTATGAATTAATTTTGCTCCAAGTTTGTGCATGCAGTGCTTGGAGAGGTCAAAAGGGAGCATCAGATCTCCCTGGAACCAGAGTTAGAAATGGTTATGAGCTGCCATGTGGGTTCTGGGAACCAAACCCAGGTTTCCTGGAAGAGCAACCAGTGCTTATAACAGGTTTATATAAGGTTTAAGATGGGATGGGAGTTGAGGATAAGGGGAGAAGGTATGGAGATGGGTTAACCAAAACTATATGTGAAAACCTCTATGGCCCTGGTTCTCAACCTTCTAATGCTATAACCCTCAAACATAAAGATATTTTCATTGCTACTTCATAACTGTAATTTTGCTACTGTTATGAATTGTAACATGAATATATGATATGTGGGATATCTGATGTTCGACCCCTGTGAAAGGGTCATTCAACCCCAGGTTGAGAACCACTGCTTTACGAAATAGCACTACTTGTAAGACAATTAACTAAAAAGTAGGAGCTTGAACATAGACACTGCACATGTGTGGACAAC